CTTAGTAATCCTGATCGAGCTTTTCTTTGTTGTCCGTGACGAAAGAACATATTGACGTAAGAACCTCACGTTCGGTCGTTTCCGTTTTTGCTGTTAAAGCTAGTCTAATTAAGGAAAAAGTAAATTTTGCTTTTAGTAATTGCGTAGAGTCATCTAAAACACTGAACGTTCACAATAGCCTAGGCCCGCATTAAACTACAGATATCTCGGCAAATTAGCTCAAATTACATCTTTTTGTTCCAACATTTTAATCTTTTGATTAAAATAATGATGGCCACAAATTCGAGAAGTAACAAATTCGAATTTGGAATCCGATAACACTGACATTTCGAAAGATAAACAGATCTACTATTGTAACGAATTGGGTGTCGTCCTTCTCATGTGGTCTATATCTTCTTAATTCTGGGAGAGAATTGTATACCTGGTGAATATTGACCCGGTCAACGGCGTTGACGGTGTCAACTGACTAAAACCTACTTGTTACGAGGAAAATGTCTGCTCTAGGTGTCGGTGCGTTCTACTGGATATTTTGAAGGTTGAATTTGAGTTTGAAATAAGTAGCTAATTTTTAATTGGTTGCGGATGCAATAACATGAAGTGTAAAGGATTTGCATACATTCATTAAAAGAAATTCTGCCGACTTTCACTGAAACAAATTTTCATTACTCAGAGTTATAATAATAATAATAATAATAATAATAATAATAATAATAATAATAATAATAATAATAATAATAATAAATTTATTTTAGTTTCAATGCATTTAGCTTAACAGTTAGCTAATTGGGGACACTTTCCTAAGTACTGGCACACTAATCTATTACATGACTTTTAAATTAATGATCTTACTTAAAACCTAAAACCATGTACAAATGTACACGACTCAAAATTTACACAGGTCACAGCAGTTACTATTATTAACTACATGGCTCGAATGGTCACACCGCGTAATGTTTCTTGAATGCTTTAAGGCTTGTCAAGTTCCTGCACACTACTGTGACCTTTGACCAAATGAAAGGTCCTTGGTAGCGTAGCGAATGCCTCCCATATGTAGGCCACTGTATCAAAGCGGCCAGTTCAAAATCGCAGTTTCTAAGGCGTTAGTGTGTACTTTTGATCGTGAATAACTCAGATACACATCTTGGCGCCATCCCGTATTTTACTTTATACATTAGTATTGCAATGTCTTGCAAACGCCTGTTATAAAGCGTAGGCAGCTTAGCGCGGGTGAGGAGTTTCCCGTACGTTTCAGTTTGAGATTTATATCGATACTGCACGCAGCACACGCTCTTGAATGCGCTTGATCTTTTTGCTATTAGATGATTTGCAGAATTTCCATACTAAATGACAGCAAGTTAAGTATGGCATGATGAACGTCTTGTATAACATAAACTTCGCGTTACAAGGTATAAGTTTCGCAGACGTACAAGTGTTCCTACTTTTTGACTAGCTCTCGTACATAACTCGCTGACCTGCAAAGCTGAGATTCTTTTCAATGTAGACTCCTAGTAATTTCAGTTGCTCTGTTTTCCTGATGTCATGATTATCAATGTTCAAAGTTTTATCGTCATTCCCTGCATCGATATTCCTGGGATTGACGGTTAAGGACTGGAACGTCCCCGGATTAGCAAGCAGAAAGTTGTTTTCATACTGACCAAGACGACGATAAGTGGCCCTGTGTTTTGAGCCTGGATTCTACAGCCCTATGAGTCCCGACAGCTGCATACAGCTAATGGTCGTCAGCGTACATGGTGAGTTTTCTTACTAAAGAGATGGCATCTTTGAATTTGTTTGGGAATTGTCAGTGGACAATTGCTTCAGTTGTTCGTTAATACTTAACGAACAACAAAGAAACAATCTATAAAAAGATTGAAGGAGTGTTGTGAATCAAACTTCTCTTTTCCTCTATCGGCCACGAACAGAGCTTGATGATCAAAGTGAAAGTTCCGTCAATAGGACCGATTTGTCGTCGTAGACATTTAATTCAAGAAACATTTAAAAGATTCCTAATGACTTTACAAACCGTGATACTGATAATGAACCAGCAGTCTCACAAGAGTTGCCAGTTATGTTGTTGAAGGTCAAACCTAAAAGTCAAAACATTTACTGTCAGGCAGGACGAAAGTGTAAGAAACTTTTAGGAAATCTGGAAAAAGTATGTTCCGTATGTAGCGACAAAAATTCATGTAATTTCCTTACTACATCCTTTATAATTCCAGAAAATATCATTCTGAAGATGTGAGATCGACCATAACAGCTTGATACAAAACTCGTTGAAAGCCTTTAAAAAATTGAACATTTATTTCTGCTACACCTCTTCTGGGAAGTGTCTCTTTAAAAGTTCATCTCGCGCAGTCGAATTATTAGTTTTAAAAGTTACAGCTTCCATCGCGCACATTAAGATTATTCTAAAGAGTGTTTCCAGTAGGCATATTATCAAGTTAAGTATCAGTGATAGCTACATGAAATTTACCCGTTGTAAAATTGAGCATAACTGTGTTTATCCTCATTAAGTGACAAAGTTGGCTGTTCAAAAGGTTTTATCTGCTAGGCCTAACTAAGCCACGGGAAACTCATATAAATCTGCGCAAGATTTTCGGCAAAATCGATAAAACTGCTTCTTTTCCCTATTTTCAATGCTAACAGGGAGTTTAAGATACGGCGACTACGGACTACGAACTACGGTTAGACGAGCGTTGTCCTGTGTTTGTAGCACTGGGTTGAGTCGTGCAAATATAGAAAGTTAAGATTGCAGTACAGACACAAGACTACGAGAGAAGAGGCGGAGAGGGAAACAGCACGCAAAAATTTTCTTGATTTCATGTTCAGTTCACAAAAATGCAAGTATTTTGCATGTCAATCTTATCTTAAGAATAATGAATTAGATTAAGAAGATGGACTTCTCCGATTACTGATGTAGTTTAACGTGTCGAAATGCCGAGTTTCGATGATCTCAAAGATGTTTATATCATTTTCATTCAGCACATGGGATATAAAAACTCCCGTAAACAAAGGTTACAGGAGTAGAAAGACACACTAATCATTTCGAACAAACATTGAAACTTTTTAACTGCGAAGAGAAAGTAAATTACCGCATTATTTCTGTTCTCGATCGGCCGTCAATCTGCGTATAAACAGCTAAGCTTATCGCGTTCGAGGTGCGAGAACGCAACCCCTAATTTGTGTTGGGTGTTCTGTGCATTATTGGGTGACCTGTGCAATTAATAAGGTAGGTTTTTTTCAGATTGCATTTTCATTCGTCGTCGACACACATTTGCCTCGCTTTGAGGCGCTTGCTTAAGTTTTGCCTCACTTTGACGCGCTAACTCATGTGGTGATTCTTGTGTCCTCGGCGTTCATCTTTCAAAGGTTTGCTAAGGTCTGATATTCTTCGTAAAGCGTTCATCTTTTAAAAAATTTGCCGAATCTTCGTAAAGCGTACATCGATCTGTGATTGCTGAATCGTCCAAAGCGTTCATCTTTCAGGAGTTTGCTATTAAATTTACTTTGGATTATAAGCCTTCATATTTTTCAGCATGGTTCCTCACCGTCTTTTTAAGCTGAACAAACTAATGAATGCTACTTTAAAGCCATTGAATGGTTGTTTTTAGAAATCGATTGAAAAGATATTTACAAACCAATAAGAGTGGACATTTTATACTAGTGTGATACATATTATTTGCATGTAGAAATACACCCATTATGTATTTAAACATAGGCGATCAAAATTTATAAAGCGACAAAATGTCTAAAAAGACATTTAGAAGGGGCATTATCATTTAATTGATTCCGTGTAAAAGACAACACTTTGCCGCGTAAACTTCCTGTTTAACCTTTTTAGATTGTATTTTTTTTGCAGTGGGCGAACTGCTTACGAGCCACAAAAACATGCCGTTTTTTTTTTGCTTCTTTTGACGACGCAAAAATATTGTCAAACCTTGGGGTGTCGCTAAAAATTCAACAGATGTTTATAATTGTCCCTTTTATTCACTTTTCGCAGTCATGGGAGATTTAAACTGAACACATTTTATTAATCCTCAGTTAAGTACTCCAAAGGCAGTTTTTGTCGTAGTGGTTTTTTATTTGAGAGTGTTCCATGTACCTTGTAAATATTTTATTCAATCAAAAGCACATTTGTGCGACTTAGCCTGTACAAAAGAACATGTCATGAGTATTCTAAGAACTTTTCGATAATTGCTACTAAAAATACAGTGATAGTCATGATACATGTATTCACGCGAGTGTCCCACGAACCTTTAACTCTGAACCAAAACCACATTTTTACGACCTACGCCTGTACAAAAGAACATTTTATGAGTCTTTTAAGAGCTTTTCGGTAATTACTGCTAAACATGAAACAGACAACTGGGTTGATAGCAAAGTACGCGGTATTGATATAAAAGGTGACTTCAAGGTATATCCAGAAACTACACGAAAAATGCGTGGAACTGTCCTGATACAATATGATTAAAATGGTAGTAACGCCCGGTAACCAGCAAAGCACAAACACTGTTACGATGACAATGGACATTTGAAGCACGTTTCTGTTTCTTCTTTGCCGCTGTTGCTGATTGTTGGTCGACCGTTCACCGGGGTGTGCCTGTGTCTTGAGCTTGATAAAGATGATGGAGTAAAGAATTACTAAGAACAGCAAAGGTATGTAAATAAACAGAATGTGTTTAGCTAGTAGGAAACTGGCATGAGACGATGACTCTCCGAATGCTTTCTCCCAATCCAGATGACACTGGTTTCCCTCTGGGGATTCAACGGTCTCGAAGGCGAACAAGTATGGCGAACTGACAGCTACGGCAACTATCCACGTGGCAAGAATGAAGAAGGGACACAGCTTGGATCTGATGAGTGGGGAACGGAGTGGAAACACCACAGCTCCAAATCGATCCACTGCTATAAGAACCAGATTCTGAATCGAAACCTTAAAGGAAACTCTTACAAAGAAGGGGACAAGCTTACAAAAGGCCTTGCCAAGCGGACCACCGATAAGAGTCGAGTTGGTGTGCAACAATAAAAGGGTCCAAGGTATTTTGAATATTGGAACCAGCAAATCAGATGAGGCCATGTTTGCGATGAAATAATTTATCGGTTTTCTTAAGTTCGGCGTTTTATAAACGATGATAACAATGAGAGAATTTGCGGCCAGTGAAACGATGATGATCAGACATAAGGTGACGGTTCCTCCGATTTTCCACGCAGTGGAATGAAACTGAGTGAAGCAGTTCCAAGACCCGCTGGATCCGTTCGCCGTTGAGTTCATGCTTTGCTTTGCGACGTGTCTACCGAATTGTGCACATGAGGTCAAGAGACTTTGAATTACTGCTCTGTATGCTGCGTATGCTGTTTGAGTGGCAGAACTTTTATTGACAATTGCAAGCCCCCTGCGAAGCCACAGCACAGCTGTCCTCTGAGGCCTTCAATAAGTGAGTTGGTTTGTAATGTTCCGGCATTATCCGCCAACCGACCCTTTGACAGAATTGAAACAATGGAGTATTAAAATGTTATAAACCACCCACAACACTTCATTTAGGTCTTGTGGTTGTATTAAGAAATCGATTGAGACTGATTAAACAAGTGTGTTTTAACACATTAAAAAATGATATCTTTGGTCGTGTATCATCAACTACACAAGTTTGACAGTTAACCACAGGAAGCAGAGGCGAAGCTGGCTTGAGGCCATTAAGCCCAGGCTTAACAGGTGAATATGAGGAAAAAATAAGTGCATATTATCACGTGTGCATAAAACATGAAGTTTTTATAACATTTACTTCTCGATCAATCTATTAAGGGAAAACCAAAAGTCTGCAGTCGGCAAAGAGAAACTGGCACGTTCTTCTGACAAGGGCTTGTTACTCCTTTGACTGCTCAGTGTTAATCGTTACAAACTTCAGTACTTGTTGGCTACAGTTGTCTTTTTCAATAATGTTGGGGCACTTCATTTTTGTATAATGAAGAACCCACCCGCTTTAATACCGTGAATGATCTCATAGACGCCCAGGGTGTTTAATAATTTTAGGGTTCCAACAGGGAGCGTTTAATGACAGGAGCCATTTAAAAGAGAAAGGAGTTCATTGTCATTTATGTAACAACCTAATTTTCAAAACTAATATTCTTTCGGCAAAAATGCTAAGATAGCTTATGAATAGCGGAATATCCTGTCTATCAATTGCTACCGCCTAGCTAGGCCGTTTAGAGATCCTTATCCGCGCTCTTTCAAATCTTAACTTCTATGTCAGAATCCTAGTTTAGGGTCATTGTGTTGTCATCTCCAATCAATTCGAACTTTTAAATAAAACTTTGAAACACTGAACAAGATGCAACGCTCAAAGTCTTGTTAATCAAGAGAGCAACTGAATAATTTGAGTGATTTGGCTCTTTTTTGCTAATTTCCAGTAATTTTTGAAATAAGTTTCATGGGGGCGTCTACTAGACAAAAGATGTTTATTAGCGAGGGCGTCTAATGCAAACATAATATCATAGAGCGGCGCTTATTAAATGAGCCATGAGGCTTTTGTTTGAAAGGGGGTGTCAGTTAGCCATTAGATCATTTATGGTAACTCATCAATGCCTAAGTAAGCCTTTTGTAATTTGCTAGGAGAGACTCACTAGTATTCAACCTTCAAATTAATTACATTGTCTGAAAGAAATTCTTTCTTTATTGCTCCCTTAAGCCCTTTCAAAGCTTGGGTTGTCCAGTCGAAGTAACACTGGCGGGGGAGCAATGATAGAGAACAAAGTATTGGCTCCTAAACAAAATTTAAACAATAACAGGGAGAAAGGTACTAAATTACAGTTTCAAAATCATGTCAGTTAGTTTCTCTACAGAAGGTATTAATCAAAATTATTATTCATTCAAAATATTTCCCCTATTCTGATTGGCTAAAAGCACACGCTTAATTCACCATAACCAGTTACTGATGGCCAAATTTGGAAGACGTTTGACTTTAACGAGGAAATGACGTCAAAAATGCAGCGTTTTCGCAGGTTAAGGCACCATATGCATTAACCGAGGAGACCTGTGGACGAGGTTGAGTTGTTTTGGTTGGGAACTTGAAAAAATGGCGGACATTTCACTCGTTTCAAGAGTAAGAACTAGACGAAAAAATAGCTAAAAATATGGCAAGAACAGCAAGAAGACAACTCGAAGGGCGACATCTGCTATTTGGAGAATATTTGCGGAGCTGGACAAACCTAAACGTACACTGTCGAAGATGAACTGAACATCGATGGATCGATGGAGGTAAGCATGTTTTAGCTATGTTTTTAAACTAGGAATTATTTTGAATGAATAATAAAACAGTTATTGAATTCGGCTTTCGTATCACATGAAGAATTATGGAGATCTCGGAGGGTGTTATCCGCCTCGGCCTACGGCCTCGACGAATAACTACTCAGCCTCATTCATTAACTGTTAAATAAATTAGCTTGACATTTGCATAAATTAACTACGGATAAATCGGGTCAATTTTCTTTCATATGGAACGGTGCAGACTATTTACTCCAGAACCCTTTAAGCTTCCATATTTTAATAAAGTGATTATTTGGTAAGCGGTAAATTCAGGAAGGATAGATCTTTCCACAGAAGGCAATACGTGCCAGACAACAGAAGTTACAACAGAAGATGTCAATCTTAACGGTATACGCTTAAGAATAACTAGGGGATATTCCATACCATCATTATTATTTTTTTTATCTTTGTTTATTTAAAAACTATTAACTGCTTAACTTCGATTGACAACAAGGAAAGATTAACACACTAGATGAAAACGCCATAAATAAAGAGGATAGATAAGTAATTTCCTTAAAATTCAGATCACGACGAAAAGTATTTTTAGATCGATTCCCGAGGAAGAGTAAAGTATTCACATAAAAAATACACAATTTATTGGTCTTTTGTTCATTACAACGAATTCATGAAAGGAGAAGGTTCCTTTTGATCACTATTTTAGACGTTGAAAATGGAGTGTAAATTTAAACAATTAATAAATGTCAGTCTTTGTGAAATATAACGTTGAATCCTGATAAAATACCCGTTAGTTAATTAATCATGCAGCGACCACTAAAGGTAACGTAAGGTTAAGGCGCGCACGAGCTATTTTAAAGGTCCAAACGGTCGGAGCTTAATATCCCGGTTTCCTCAGCATGAGGCATGTTTAGAAGTATTGCTTACCCCCAGCTGTATGTCGCCGGTACCCATTTATACACCTGGATGGACAGAGAAAAAATGGATAGTGAAGTTCCTTGTCTAAGGAAACAACGCGACAGGCGAGGCTTGAATCCCTGTGTTCGAGGAGTTAACCACTCGGCCACACACGCCTCCACTGCAGAGCACCAAGCAAATTTTAAGACATAAAGGAGAACCGAATAAGGCTAAGGGAAATCAAGTCTAAAACTTCTGCTGCTTGGATTTTCGTTGCTTAACGGTACATATCAGGATCGTTCGTTTTTTTTTATTAATAAGTTATTATTATTATTGTTATTAATTCTTCACTAGTGTAGGGCTGCCGAGTGTATTTTAATGGGTTGAAAACTCCCATTTCAAAACGTATGTTCAGGGAATTTGTGTCAAATAAATAGTAAAAATACAACGTCAATAAGTAAAGTAACTATCTTTTAATGTGGTTCTTAACGTTTTTAGCCCCGGGCACGAGGAAATTTTTGTGCTGCCGAGGAACAGTGATCACGCTCTTGCGATCCAGGGCGCGGGAAAGTGTTTCATCTATGAATACTATGAGTTTTAGTTCTGTCTTTTCTCTGTAAACTGTTTGAAGCAGCTCTAAGACTTGTTGAAAATATAGTTGAAAATGTAGTTGAAAATACGTGCTTAATGCCAATTTTACCTAGCAGGTGTGTGAAAATGTTTTCTTTGGAAATACGATCATAAAATGCGCAATTTGGCAGTTGCCTTTAAGCGATTAAGCTCAGGCTTAGCAGGTAAATATGAGGTAAAAAAAAGTGTATACCGTATTTATCAAGACATGCATAAAACATGCAGTTTTTATAACATTTTCTTTTCGATCGAACAAAAAATGGGAAATTATGAAACCAAGAGTCTAGACTAAACTAATGGGTTCTTCTTCAACAAAAACACAAGGCTTGTTACTTCTTTTATCGTCTTTGATTTTTACGAACTTCTATACTTGTTTGCTACGATTCTATCGCTCGATAAAGTTGTGGCACTTCACCAGAAACACCACTTCCCCGCTTAACTCACATCAATGCCTGAGGAGTCTTTGTGATTGGCTATAGGAACGGCTTATTAGCACATATGGAACCTTCAAATCATTTATTTGGTGACAACGATTTCCTGTTTTAAATGTCACCTTAAAGGGGGTTAGGGACGGACCATTCGAAAACTTATGGGAGGGCGGGCGAAGTACAAAAAAATATTCGCGCAAGGGAAAATTAAATGCAAAAAAAGTTCATGCACGCTAATTAATCCTAAAAAATATTCATGCTATGGCCTAAAAAAAATTCATACAAGGAATTTGATAACGAAAAAAAATTCCTGCAGCTTGAAAATTCCCCTCCCCCCCCTCCCCCCATAACTTTTCTAATGGTCCGTCCCTTACCGAGTTGTGTAGCTCGGCGGCCGTTGTGCCACAAAGTAAATCTAACGAAGTGTGAACCTCGGCGGCGCCATTTGATCATGACTTGTGATATTTCGGCACAGGACAAACGAACACTTATTAATTAACTCTATGTTATTTATTAGGAAAAACTTATAAACCACTCTCGAGTCACTGAAATCAACACGCTCGACCAAATTACTGGAAAAGTTATTGACGTGAGCCGCACACACATTCTATTGAAGGCTTTGACAGGGTTAGTGCGAAGTTTGAATTCAGATGTGAAAGCTTTTAAAACAGTAAATTCAATGTAATTCACTTTGTCAACAAGTTGATGATTGGATGCTCTTAAAAATAACATAGGAAATTATCCGAAGAATTGTTTTTGAAGAAAGAAAAAGAATCCCCGGTTAAACACTAATCGGCCTTTGAGCAACTGCCCCCTGTAACTCATGCACGCCAGTAAAACAAAATGTTCTATTTACACGCCCGATGCACTCTGGCCAATGTCTCCTCCGATTACAAGCACTTGACACCGTACCATACGATATCTTTTCAAAACCTTCTTATAACGTGATACACAGTTTAAATAGAGGTTTTGCTGTACGCAACCCTTACGTTCAAAATATACTATAATCATATTTATCTATATCGCAACCACCCTTCCCCCTCAACTGCTACCTGTACGCCT